GTTGAAGAACTCTAAACCCTAAACCCTAGTAATTCAGGTTCAAGGTCTTGGGTTGGGGCTTAAGAAACTCTAATCCCTAAAGCTTGGGTACTGCCCCCACCCAGTAACAGTCTATACTAGGGGTCCCATTAAGGGCTATATATAACCATATTATACTTATTATCCAACTGTTACTGAGGGGGGGCAGTACCCAACCTAAACCCTAAACCTTGAGGCCTAAACCCTGGTACGATTTGGGGCCTGGGCAGGATAAGCCTGGCTCCGGCTTTACGTAATATATAGGGATAATGGAAAATAAAATGGAAACTACTATAGTATAGTGGTGTTATATTGGGGTTATTTGGGATAATGGAAAATAAAATGGAAACTACTATAATGGGTTATATAGGGATTATAGAGTATATGAGCCATAGTCTAAACTCTTAGTATCCGCCTGAGTTCCCCTGGCAAATCCCCTACACGACCCCCTTTAAGGAGTTTAGACTACTTCAGGGATAGGGAAATTCAAGCACAGTCGTACGCATCATGCATCATGTTTACTCTTGTTTCTTAGCCATTAGGCTGCAACAGCACAAGGAACAGGGAGAATGACACCAAGCAACAGTGAACGTCGTCATACGTCCAGTGTTCTCCGCCATCACAGTCTACATGCCAGCTCAACGCCCATGAGGGCAAGCCGTTGAGGAACACGTTCTTGGAATAGTCCTGGTGCGGGGCCATGTTCCTAGATTTTCCTAGTAGAAACCTTTGTGTAACCTAGCGTTATTAATCAGAGGTCTGTAAGAGTGTTCTCTTCCTGGGCGCCTGAGACAAATCCTACGATCGTAAGCACGACATAACCCCGGTACACCATGTTAGCTTCGATTCTATTATCAGTTTGATACCCCGTCATCGGTAACTCCTCAACCCTTTATCATCTCCCTGTAAGCCCAGTTGTCGATTTCTTGTCAATTTGGTTCTCCAGTCGTCAAACCTTTCAACTCCCAGCATCCCCCTTAAAATCCCCTATCACAATCTCCTAGATAACCCCCTACATAATTCCCTCTTGGAAGGGGTTTAGGCTACCCTAAACCCTAAACCGTGTATAACACCCTTTTAGGTGTTTAGACCCTACACCCTAAACCTAAACAATCCCCTTTAAGGAGTTTAGACTCCTTTAATGGATTCAGACCCTAAACCCTAGCTCCTATATATATAATCCCCTATATAACCCCTTTTAAATAGTTCAGACTATAGCTCATGCTAACTCCCCAGATGTGCTGCAGCTCCTGAGGGCTAAGAGAAGGTCCTTCCAGCCTGGCCAGAGCCAAATCTGTTTCATGTGGGGGTGGTTTAGGGTTTTAGGATTCTAGGGTTTTAGGGTTTAGGGTTTAAGGTTTGGGATTTAGGGTTTAGGGTTTAGGGTTTGGGATTTAGGATTTTGGGGTTAGAAATGGTTAGAACTCCATAGAAAGAAGTCCCAAATTGACTTAAGACTTAAGTTCCGCTTCTGGAGTTCTTATGAAACGGCCGGTGTTTACAGTAAGGTTTTAGTTAGTTAAAGCCTATATATTGGGTGGGATCCCCAGCCTGTAATAGTGGTAAAATAGGAATTTAAGAGAACCCTGATATAGTCGCTTTTATCACTTACACTGACTTTTACGGCGTGGGGGTCCACCTAAGTTTAGGGTTGAGAATATTAGAGAGCATCCTTACAGAAGGATTACAATATATTAGACGCTTTATCTGCAAGGCTCAGCAGAAATAAACTGCACAAGAAAAAGAAGGCTAGGACCACCCGCAGGCAGGTCACGCGTTCAAGAGCCATAGACTTCAAAACCTCGAAGCCCTTAAATCAAATCCATATGCACCGCATTGGGCTGGAACGGTAAGCACATTTCACTACCAGACCAGTTAGACTGACCTGTTTTGCAGTTGAACCTATAATCCCTATATAACCCATTCTAGTAGTTTCCATTTCCTTTTGCATTCTCTCTATATAACCCCAATATCACCCTAAGGTCGCGTGCCCAACCGCAGTGTGAGCCTGACGGAGTCATAGCCGGATACAGGGAGGGCCAGGTAGTTCAACCTCAGCCGCCGTGCCACGGTATATAGGGGATATAGGTACCCTTTGGGGTAATATT